GGAGGAGGGAGAAGACCGGGACGACAGGGACCCGGAGGCCGAGGAGCCGCTGTGGGCCAGCCGGACCGTGAACGGCAGCCGGCTTCTCTCCTACAGCTGCCGGGAAAACTACTCGGACTCGGAGGAAGAGCAGGACGTCGACGTGGCCTCCGGCAGACAGGTATTAAAGGACGACTCCCTGTCCCGGCACCGGCCCAGACGGAGCCACGGCAAGCCTCTCCCTCCGCAGTCTGCTAAAGCGGCGGGCGGCCGGCTGGAGCCCTCGGTTCAGGGAGGGGGAGGAATCCCGATGAATGACAGGGCGGCGGCCGCGGGGAGTCTAGACAGGAGTCGCAACCTCGAAGAGCCCGCGGTGGCGGCGGCGGAGCAGGGAGGAGGGTGTGATCAACTGGACTCCAGCCCTGTTCCTAGATACCGTGTGACCGCGAAGAAACTGGCCCCTCTCCTGCCCCCGCCGTTGACTGACATGGACGCAACCTTGGATTCGTCTACAGGCTCCCTTCTTAAAACCAACAATCATATCGGCGGTGGGGCCTTCAGTGTGGACTCCCCCAGGATTTTTTCCAACAGCCTCTCTCCCAGTGCGGCGGTGGCCGCCTCTGGTTCACTCAGGATCAATCACTCCAATCATACGGGCGCCAATCATACCTACCTGAAAAACACATACAGCAAACCGAAGCTTTCTGAACCCGAGGAAGAACTTCTCCAGCAATTCAAACGGGAGGAGGTGTCCCCAACCGGGGCTTTCAGCGCCCACTACTTGTCGATGTTTCTCTTAACTGCTGCCTGCTTATTTTTCCTAATATTGGGACTGACTTACCTAGGAATGAGAGGGACAAGCGTGTCCGAGGATAGAGGACTCAGCGGCAGTAAGTATTAAACCCCCGTGGGTAAAGTAGCAAAGGGAATGTTAGTCACCTGCTCTAATTGCACTGAGCATTTTACGTGAGGTGACGCCTGTATGGAAGAACATGGTTTAATAGTGAAGGCAACAGATTGAGTTAATTTGTGTCATCTTTCTTTCAGAAAGAACATTATTACTATTATCTGAGGATAATCCCATGGCTGATTTACAAATTTTTGTGTATGATATATTGGGAAATCCAAAACGTCTTATTAAAGGAAGAAAACATTACAAGCCTGTTAGTAAAATGCATTTATTTAAATTTTCTTTAGCCTTCAAAACTTTATGGACAGACATCAAATACTCAACAGTTTTGAAGCATTTTGATTGTAAAAGGGCATTATAAATGCAGTGTTTTTTCAAATTGAGTTGTGATTCTGAAAGGCAGTGTAAGATCTCTTGAAATTCCGGTTAAATATTTTGTAGTATTAAGTATATGGGTAGATAGGTCTGTAATTTTAAAAAAGTGAATGAATATAGAAAGTAGGAAGGCATACCTCTACATCCGTTTCCCAGCCCAAAGCATCTCTCTTCTCAGCAGTGAAAGAAGTAGTGGTAGACCTTGTAGGGGTTTGCAGTCAGATTTATCTGGATTGGTTTCCAGGCCTTGCCATTTACTTATGAAATGACTGGAAGTAGATGTGTGTATTCATTCATTAAGCTAGCATCATCTTCTATGCTGAGCACTCAGGATACAGCAGTGAAAAGTCAAAGTATTCCTGTCCTTAACACAGGAAGATGGAATGCAGATCATTTTGTATTTATGAAGGAAGGATGGAGTAGTTGGTGCTTGCTACTTTAGAGTTGGTAAGAGTAGGTACTACTTGAGGTGAGACCTAAAGCAGGAGGAGACAGCATTGCAGGGAGATAGGAGAACATTCTAGGTACGGATTATAAGAGGAAAGGCTTTGAGTTGAGCAAGAATCTTCTTGTAGGTTGGAGTGGTTGGAGCACTTCGAGCCAGGGGGAGTGAGCAGGAGTTTGAGCTTCCCTTTTCTAATCTGTAAAATGATGCTAATATTGATTAGAATGATGCCTGTGAAGATTAAAAGAAAGTAAATTTAGTGCATGATAGACTGCTGAATACATAATTTCTCAATGTTAGCTCTCTTTTCCTCCTCAATTTTCCTGCCCATTTCACTCAACATGAATTTACTATATCATGATTTGTATTTTTAAATTGGCTTAGTATTAGACTTATTTCAAAATAGTGAAGTGTGCAGTTAGGCTTAGACAAAGGGTAGGAGTGAAAATAGTATAAGCCTGGATTTGGATACAGCCAATTCTAAGATAGTCACATAATAGATTGTTACTATATTGCTTAAATAGAGGGGTTAGAAGAGGACTGAAATAGGGCACTCACTTTAATTGGTACCCTGGGAGCAAGTGTGATATGTTCTGTCCTGCCCCAGATAATTGAGAGAAAAAAGAATTAAGGTCACCCTAGGAGTTCAACTAGTAAAGTTCACATAAGTTAAATGACATTACCTATTAGCAGTACTTATCTACATCTGTTTATTTCTCTGACACCAACTCCATGACCTGGACCTTTTCTAATTCATTGAATCTTCCCAACCACTCACAGAGCCGGATTGTGTTTATCTTCATTTTATAGATGAGGACAGTGAGACTCAAGGAAGTTAAGAAATGTACCCACAGTTGAACAGCCAGTGAGTGAAGGACTAAGATTTTGCTTCAGATTTTTTTCAACTCTAAAACCCATATTCTTAACACTGCTTTGGGTATTGTTTGTAGAGAACTTTCTAAATAAGAGGTTACTTTTATTAGGATTAAAAAAAAATTGAATATTTGGTAGCATTTCAAACAGAATTGCTGATGAGCACAATTCTCAATTAAGATGACTGTCGTATCTTTCTCTTTAGTGTTAGGAAAAATGAGTATTTTCTTAGGTCCTAAAATTTCAAATGGAATAGAAAGGCATAGAACTGCTCGGGTTTTGAAGGAAGGAAATTATAAGCTGTTTTGCATTTTAATATAGAGTGAGTATGAGGTAGCCAGAGGGATGAAAAGAACTGTAGCTAAGAGATTGAGGATCCTGGGTATAAGGACTTGTCAAAATGACCTTAGTCAAGTTCCTTAACCTTTGAGCTTCATTCTTATGTATTAAATGGGAGTAATAATTTCTGCTGTCTGTGGGGTTGTTGTGAGGATCAAATGAGATAGTTTGTTAAACATAAATTGGTATTATTCAGAAGTTTAGGTAAAACTTGTATTCCTCATAATCTACATTATGTAAAGAGAAATAGTTAAAATAGTTAAGTCATTTCTGTAAATGATATTTAGTGTATTTCTTACCCATTCAGCATTTAATTTTTATTAAATTCCATTAAATACACATTGTAGACATTGATACAGAAATTTGAATCAAAGTGTAATGAATCCTTAAATGTATTATATACTTATTATATACCCTGGTTAAAAGCTGTGCCTGCTAGTTCAGTTATTCTGCACACCTAACGGTGAATAATTTCCACTCCCTATATTTATGTATTCTGATCCTTTGTCATATTATAATGGTTAACTGATGTTTAACCATAGGGTTCATTGGTCAAATAGTGTGCTTAAGGGAATAGTTTTACTTTGAGTAATTACTCACCAGAAGATTGTAGGTTATATGTGAGTGTAAGCTTTAGTAAGCTTTTATTAGTTATTTAAATTATGTATGACATGTAATAGCTTAGCCTTTTAAGTAGTTATTAATCATTTTATCTTTGAAAATTTTTCATCAATGTCTAGTTTTATTAATTAAATTACTCTGAGTCTCTGCTTCCTCATCTGTAAAGCTATGGTGTTGGATTAGATGATCTCTAAGTTCTTTCCAGTTCTAAGGTTTAAGATTCTAACTTTGAACTGCCCTACCAAAACAACTCAAGGATCAGTCTACAGTCAGATCATGACAACCCATCAAAAGAAAATAGGCAGAATAGACTGATTGTATCTTAGGCCTATATGATCATTTAGATCTGTTTTTCAATTACAAAAGACAGGATTTTTGTAGAAATGTGGATAGAGATCTGTGAAGCAAAAATGAATGAGTATTGTATACTTCTCCTAGTCTCATAATCACCTCTGATATAAGTTCAAAAATAATCCTTGCAGAACTTAATGTTTTCATGTAATACATACATTTATATATACGTATGTGTGTACATTTTCATTCAACAACGTAATGCCTACTGTGTACCAAGCAGTATTTTAACCAGCAGAAATATTCAGTGAACAAGACATGAAATCTCTCTTCTCATGGAGCTTACATTCTAGGGGGAAGATGAACAAATAAATAAATAACTGCTAACACAAAGTAAGGATGGTAACTTTGGGAGCTGGGGTAGAGGGGAATACAGTATTACAAACAATTGGGACGTGCCTCTCTAAAGAGAATTGAGATCTGAATGACTTGAAGAAATGAGCCAGTCAAAGGGAGAAGAGAATTTTAGGCAGAAGTAACAGCAAGTATAAAGACCCTGAGGCAAAAACAAGCTTGGCATGTTAAAGCATCAGAATAGAATGGTCAGCGTGGCTGGGGCCTAGCATATGATAAAGCCAGAAGTAGGCAGGGGCCAGGTCATAAAGAACCTAAAAGCCTTGAACGCCGTAGAAAGGAGTGTGAATTTTATTTTAAGTGACATTATACTGTACATGTCCTGCAACTTTTTTCACTTACCGTTGTATCATGGGTCACTTTCCACATACTGAGTTTAAGTACAAAAGGAATTAAAAATCTTACTCTCCACTAGTCCCTCTCTCATCCTATAAAAATGCTAAAATCTCTGCCATCCTGAAAATGTTCTTCAGCCCTCTATTCTCCTCTAGCTGTTACTCTCTTCTCAGCCAAGATTAATATCTCTTTCCTCCCCTGCCATTCACTCAACCCCTGTCTAGTTTAACTTTCTTTACCATCCATTCTTCGCTGCTTGGAGCCACCAGTTACTCAATTGCTTAATTCAGGAAAGGCTTACACTTATCTTCATCTCTTTGATACCTGCAATACATTGAGAACTCCCTTCTTCACGAGACTGTCTCCAAACTTCTGTATCGCCATTCTCTCCTTCCCTGTTTTCATTAATCCTGTCTGCTTGTGTTTTAAATATGGTGGCCTCTGGAATACTTATTTTTGGCTCTGTTCTTTTGTATAGTTTCCTTAGGCAGTTTTATTTACTCGCCTGATTTATACCTCCCAATTTTGAATTATTAGATTTTCTCTCCTGAGTTCTAGACTTACCTATTTGTTTATTTAGACAACGACTTTTGGTTGTACCACAAGTACCAAAACTATTTGTACTCGTCAGTTCTTTTTAATTTCACCTGGTTTCTTCCCCTTTGTTCCTCATTTTAGTTAATGGCACTTCCATCCACCCAGAGCTCAAACTAGAAACCTTGATTTTCCTTGCCTTCATCTTCCTACCAAACCTCAAACTAATTGGTTACCGAGCCCTGTAGTTCTACCTCCTGTATATCTTTCGAATCAATCTATTTCTCTCACCACTGGTCTAGGTTAATCTCTTGCCTGAACTATTTCAGTAGCCTTCTAACAGGTGTTCCTGCTTCTAAGCTGTAGCTCTTCCAGTCCATTTTCCTGAAACATAACTGCAATAATTCACTCTCTTCCTTAAAATTACTCAATGGCTTTCCCTTTCTTATTGGGTAAAATCTAAACTCCTTGGCTAAACTGTTCATGATCTAACTATGCTTGCTTTTTCTAGCTTCATTTCCTGCCAGCCCCTCTTATCACACTTCACTTTCTGGGAAACTGGAACTTTCTGAAACTCTATTTGGTGTTCACTGACTACATCATGAAATTTTGTGCTTTTATGCCTTTGCACATGTTATTCCCTTCTTTGGGAAGATTATTTCTTCCTGTCTATTAACTACTAAATTTATTCTTTAAAAAGTGTCACCTGTGGCTGTCTTCTCTCCTGTCCTTTTTACTCCAGAGTATGGCCC